TTTTCTAGGACTGACCACACACTTGGGCACAAAACAAGCCTCAACAAATTTAAGAGTAAAGAAATTATTTCAAGCATCTATCTTCAGGACATTACATCTAAAAAAAATACATTCTTTTCAAGTGCACACAGAACATTTTCTAGGATTGACCACACACTTGGGCACAAAACAAGCCTCAACAAATTTAAGAGTACAGAAATTATTTCAAGCATCTTTTCTGACCACAACAGCATGAAACTAAAACTCAACCACAGAAAAAGAAACGAGAAAAAAACAATTACATAGAGGCTAAACATGCTACTAAAAAAAACAATGGGTCAGGCTTCCCTGGTGGTGCAGTGGTTAAGAATCTGCCTGCCAAGGCAGGGGACACATGGGTTCGAGCCCTGGTCCGGGAAGATCCCACATGCTGCAGAGCAGCTAAGCCCGTGCACCACAACTACTGAGCCCACATGCCACAAATGAAGCCCACGGGCCTAGAGCCCTGCTCCACAACAAGAGAAGCCACCATAATGAGAAGCCCGTGCACTGCAACGAAGAGTAGCCCCCACTCACGACAACTAGAGAAAGCGTACACGCAGCAACGAAGACCCAATGCAGCCGAAAATAAAAATAATTTTAAAAACCCAACGGGTCAATGATGAAATCAAAGAAGAAATTAAAAAATACCTTGAGCAAATGACAATGAAAACACAACCATACAAGAACTATGGGATGTAGCAAAAGCAGTTCTTAGAGGGTAGTTCATAGTGATACAGGCCTTCTTTAAGAAACAAATATCTCGGGACTTCCCTGGTGGTGCAGTGGTTGGGAGTCTGCCTGCCAATGCAGGGGACACGGGTTCGAGCCCTGGTCCGGGAAGATCCCACATGCCACAGAGCAACTAAGCCCGTGCGCCACAACTACAAAGTCTGTGCACTACAGCCCGTGAGCCACAACTACTGAGCCCGTGTGCCACGACTACTGAAGCCTGCGTGCTTAGAGCCTGTGCTCCGCAACAAAGAGAAGCCACTGCAATGAGAAACCTGCGCACTGCAACAAAGAGTAGCCCCCGCTCGCCGCAACTAGAGAAAGCCCGCGCGCAGCAACGAAAACCCAGCATAGCCAAAACTAAATAAATAAATATATATATTTTAAAAAGCAACAAATATCTCAAATAAACAACCTAACACACTACCTAAAAAAATTAGAAAAAGAACAAACAAAACCTAAAGGAAAAGATAATAAAGCAAAGGAAAGATAATAAAGATTAGAAACGAAATAAATATAAGAGAGATTAAAAAACAAACAAGAAAAATCAATAAAACCAACAGCTGTTTCTTTGAAAGGGTAAACAAAATTGACAAACCTTTGGCCAGGCTCACCAAAAAGAAAAGAGAGAAGACCCAAATAAACAAAATAAGAAATGAAAGAAGAGAAATCGCAACAGATACCACAGAAATACGAAAAGCCATGAGTGAATACTATGAACAATTATATGCCAACAAATCTGACAACCTCCAAGAAATGGACAACTTTCTAGAAACATATAACCCATCAAAACTGAATCACAAAGAAAGAGACAACTTAAACAGACCAATCACTAGAAAAGAAATCAAACCTGTTAAAAAAAAAAAAAAAACAGCAAACAAAACAAAACCTGCCTAAAATAAAATTCCAGGACCATATGGCTTCACAGGCAAATCCTACCAAACATACAAAGAAGAACTTATACTGATCTTTCTCAAATTCTTCCAAAAAACTGAAGAGGAAGGAACACTCCCAAAGACATTCTATGAAGACACTGTCACCCTGATACCAAAAGCAGACAAAGACACCACCAAAAAAGATAATTATAGGCCAATACCTTTGATGAATATAGATGCAAAAATTCTCAACGAATTATTAGCAAACCGAATCCAACAACACATTAAAAAAGTCATACACCACAACCAAGTTGGATTCATCCCAGGATCACCAGGATGGTTCAACATATTCAAATCAATCTACAAGATATACCACATCACCAAAAGAAAGGACAAACACTACATGATCATCTTAATAGATGCATGAAAAGCATATGATGAAATCCAACACCCATGCATGATAAAAGCCCTTACAAAATTGGGTATAGAGGGAACGTATCTCAACATAATAAAAGCTATTTATGACAAACCCACAGCCAACATAATACTCAATGGTGAAAAGCCAAAAGCCTTCCTGCTAAAATCGGGAACAAGACAAGGGTGACCACTCTCACCACTTCTCTTCAACATAGCATTGGAAATCCTAGCCACAGCAATCAGACAAGAAATAGAAACAAAAGGTATTCAACTGGGTAGGGCAGAGGTAAAATTATCATTATACACAGATGACATGATAATATATATAGAAAACCCTCAAGACTCCACACAAAAACTACTAGAACTCTAGAGCCCACAAGCCACAGCTACTGAGCCTGCAGGCCACGACTACTGAGCCCGCATGCCTAGAGCCCGTGCTCTGCAACAGGAGAAGCCACCACAATGAGAAGCCCATGCACCACAATGAAGAGCAGCCCTTGCTTGCCACAACTAGAGAAAGACCGTGTGCAGCAACAAAGACCCAACACAGCCATAAATTAATTAACTATTTATTTTTTAAAAGATGATTCAAGGAAATGGAAAGATATCCCATGCTCTTGGATTGGAAGAATATTGTTTAAATGGCCATACTACCCAAAGCAATCTATAGGTATAATGCAATACCTATGAAATTACCCATGACATTTTGCACAGAAATAGAACAAATAATAATAAAATTTATATGGAACCATAAAAGACCCAGAATTGTCAAAGCAATCCTGAGGAAAAAGAGCAAAGCTGGAGACATAACCCTCCCAGACTTCAGACAATATTACCAAGTTACAGTAATCAAAACAGCATGATATTGGCACAAAAACAGGCATATAGATCAACGGAACAGAAGAGAGAGCCCAGAAATAAGCCCACACACCTACGGCCAATTAATCTTCAACAAAGCAGGCAAGAATATACAATGGAGAAAAGACAGTCTCTTCAGCAAGTGGTGTTGGAAAAGCTGCACAGCTGCATTTTAAATCAGTGAAGTTAGAATACACCCTCTCACCATACACAGAAATAAACTCAAAATTACTTAAAGACCTAAATATAAGACAAGACACCATAAAACTCCTAGAAGAGAACATAGGCAAAACATTCTCTGACATAAATCATACCAATGTTTTCTTAGGTCAGGCTCCCAGGGCAATAGAAATAAAAGCCAAAATAAACAAATGGGACCTAATCAAACTTAAAAGCTTTTGCACAGCAAAGGAAACCATAAACAAAACAAAAAGACAACCTACAGACTGGGAGAAAATATTTGCAAATGATATGACTAACAAGGGCTTAATTTCCAAAATATACAAATGGCTCATACAACTCAACAACAACAAAAAACAAACAACCCAATTCATAAATGGGCAGAAGACGTAAATGGACATTTCTCCAAAGAAGACATACAGATGGCCAAGAGGCACAGGAAGAGATGCTCAAGATCGCTAATTATTAAACAAATGCAAATCAAAACTACAATGAGGTACCACCTCACACCAGTCAGAATGGCCATCATCAGAAAATCTACAATCAATAAATGCTGGAGACGGTGCGGAGAAAAGGGAACCCTCTTGCACTGTTCATGGGAATGTAAATTGTACAGCCACTGTGGAGAACAGTATGGAGGATCCTTAAAAAAACTAAAAATGGAACTACCATATGACCCAGCGATCCCACTACTAGGCATACACGCTGAGAAAACCTAATTCAAAAAGACACATGTACCCCAGTGTTCATTGCAGCACTATTTACAATAGCCAGGACATGGAAACAACCTAAATGTCCATGGACAGATGAATGGATAAAGGAGATGTGGCAGATATATATAATGGAATATTACTCGGCCATAAAAAAGAATGAAATAATGCCATTTGCAGCAACATGGAGGGACCTAGAGATTATCATACTAAGAAAGGTAAGTCAGAAAGAGAAAGACAAATACCATATGATATCACTTATATGTGGAATCTAAAATATGACACATATCTACGAAACAAAAACAGACTCACAGACATAGAAAACAGACTTGTGGTTTCCAAGGGGGAGGGAGGGGAGGGGAGGAAAGGATTGGGAGTTCGGGATTAGCAGAGGCAAACTAGTATATATAGGATGGATAAACAACAAGGTCCTATTGTATGGCACAGGGAACTATATTTAATATCCTGTGACAAACCATAATGGAAAAAAACAATAATATAGGGACTTCCCTGGTAGTCCAGCGATTAAGAATCCATCTTGCAATGCAGGTGACTCTGGTTCAATCCCTGGTCAGGGAACTAAGAACCCACATGCCGTGGGGCAACTAAGCCCACGTGCCACAACTACTGAGCCCATGTGCCACAACTAGAGAGAAGCCCGCACACTGCAATGGAAGATCCTGCGTGCTGCAACTGAGACCTGATGCAGCCAAAAATAAATAAATATTTTTTTAAGAGTAAGAATGTATATATTCATTGTAAATCAACTATACTTCAATAAAACTTTTTAAAAAAGGAAAGAAAACCAAACTAAATCTAAAAGAAGCAGAAGAAAGAAATAAAAGACTTGGATGAAGATAAATGAAATAGAGATTAGATAACACAGAAAACCCATAAAACCAAAAGTTGGCTCTTTGAAAATAACAAAAAGTGAACAAAACATTAGCTAGACTGACCAAGAAAAAAGGAGAAGAATCAAATGGCTAACATCAGAAATGAAAGTGGGGACGTCACTACTGACCCTGCAGAAATAAGGATTATAAGGAAATACTATGAGCGACTGCCCACGATTAAATAATCTAAATAGTCCTCCAAAGTTGGAAGACCCACATTTGCTGGTTTCAAAAGTTCAGTACAAGCCTACAGTAATGGAGATGGCGTGGTACCACTCTATAAGGCCAAGGTCTAAGGACTGAGGCAGGGCACTTGCCTTGAAGCTTCATCTCGGAGCACAGCTGAGCAGCCAGCGCCTGCACCCTGGACAGGGAGCCTGGGGCCTGCTTCTGAGCCCAGCCTCTCAGCTCCTGTCTGTAGCTTAGCACGTGTGCCACGGAGCCAACCAGGTCCTCTGTAAACTTGAAGACCACAATTTTACCATTAATCGCATTTCCGTTGTGACCTATGACCTACATCATATCAACGTGGGGAAGGGTGTCTCATCTCCTTAAGGCCAACTGTGATGGACCACAATCTGGAACAGATCATGTAACTTGGGTAGTTACTCATTTTTCTAACGACACCTTTGGCTGGTCTAGATTGCCAGTGCCTTTTTGTCCAGGAGTTCTGACCTTAACCAGTGACACGGTCTAGGTACCCGCGCCCCGGGGTGGACTTGTGCACAATGCCGCCATCAGCGGCTTAATCGTCCTAGGTCCCCCACCAAAGGATACCAAGGCTGCTTGGGATGGCTGCAAACGGCCTGGTGGCCTCTTACCTTCTTGACCTCTCTTGCTTTCACGGGACCTTCTGTGGCAGAAATCATTTTCAGGATCACGAGACTCTTCTCCTCAGCATTTCCTTTCAAAAGGTAGGACATGGACACTGTGAACTGCTCCTGGGAGATGCGCTCACTGGGCCCCTTGGTCTTCCCAGTCACGTCCACCCTCCGCATGCCCTCAAACAGTCTGGTGACCATCTCTGGGGGAAGAGCTTCCCCCACATGGCTCTGCGGGGACAGGTAGGTGAAAAGGTCAGACAGGGTGCCAGTCAAATGAGGCAGGATGATGGAAATATAGCTAAGGGAGAAAGACCAACCACTGCTACCAGCACATAACCTTCCTAGATCCCCAAATGCAACATCTCTCCCCACCTAAGGGCATCATGACACCCCAGGACCCACACACCTAACGCGTCCTGGCTTGTGGCTCATCTTGGCCGTCAGACTCTTCCATCAACTGTTCCCATCCTGCCCTCCAGACTTCCCAGTCTCCCCAGACTGGCTGTGTCATTCCTGCCTCTGGCCATCGTCTGCTCTTCACTCTGCTTACAACATCTCCTCAATTCTAGATTCTAGTAGCTGTCATTTGCATGTCTAAATTTATTTCCATATGGAACATACGGTCTGTGTAGTGCTAAATTGGCATGCTCTATACTATGGACTTCCAAATATATTAGCTAGCTTTATCAATCCGAGTTCTTTGTGCTCAGTATGCATTGGAAAGGGGGGGAGGATAAATTGGGAGATTGGGAGTGACATATACATACTACCATATATAAAATAGATAACGAATAAGGTCCTACTGTATGGCACAGGGAACTACTCAAAATTCTGTAATGACCTATATGGGAATAGAAGCTAAAAAAGAGTGGATATATGTATATGTATAACTGATTCACTTTGCTGTATAGCAGAAACTAAGACAACACTGTAAATCAACTACACTCCAACAAAAATTTTTTAAAATTTAAAAAATCTAGTTCTTGGGACTTCCCTGGTGGTCCAGTGGTTAAGACTCCACGCTGCCAACGCAGGGGGCATGGGTTCAATCTCTGGTCAGGGAACTAAGATCCTACATGCCACGCAGCATGGCCAAAAGATTTTTTTAAAAATCTAGTTCTTAATTGTCTTGCCAGTAACATTCTGTAAATATTCTTTCTCTTTGACTCCAACATCAAATCTGATTTGGTCCAGGGATCATAAATACAGGGGAAGAGAAAGCAAACCATGAACTAAATCAGTGGGTTCTGAAAACGGAACTCTCCTGTAACAACTTCCCGTGTCTACACGGTCTGTGAAAACATCAGTATTCTGCATTTCTTGTAAAGCAGTTTCCCACCCTCATTGCTCAAAAAGAGTATTCCTATTTCTGTCGGTGTTTCCAAAGTTCTACTGGAAAAGAAACCTCTAATTAGTTCCCAAAGGAACTTTTATTTGGTTGCCAAGGTTTTCTGACCAACTTTTCACCCTATTTATCTTTTTTTTTTTTTTTTTTTTTTTTTGCTGCATTGGGTCTTCGTTGCTGCGCACAGGCTTTCTGTAGTTGCGGTCAGCGGGGGCTACTCTTCGTTGCAGTGCGTGGGCTTCTCATTGCAGTGGCTTCTCTTGTGGGGCACAGGCTCTAGGCGTGCAGGCTTCAGTAGTTGTGGTGTGCAGGCTCAGTAGTTGTGGCTCACGAGCTGTAGAACGCAGGCTCAGTAGTTGTGGCGCACGGGCTTAGCTGCTCTGCGGCATGTGGGATCTTCCCAGACCAGGGCTCAAACCTGTGTCCCCTGAACTGGCAGGAGGATTCTTAACCACTGCACCACCAGGGAAGCCCCACCCTATTTATCTTGATAAACACCTGTGAACGTTGTCACCAACTCAGCAGTTAAGTCCCTAAGTGGCCTGTCTTGTTCTGTCTGCTCCAGCTTAGTGGGCGACCCAGCAGACTGGGGTGCTTTTGGTCTAGTGGAGATACACATGATACACACACACACACACACACAAGCTGTAACCCCAATAACCTCCCTGGCCAGTTTCCTCAACTATAACGTGAGTATGTTGGGGGAATCCCCAATGCCATCTGCTCCTGTTCTGCATGTCCTAAAAGAGGAGGCTCTCCTCAGAAAACTAAAAATAGAGCTACCATATGATCCCACACTCCTACTTCTGGGCATACATCCAGACAAAACTATAACTTAAAAAGATACCTGCACCCCTATGTTCACAGCAGCACTACTGACAATGGCCAACACATGGAAACAACCTAAGTGCCCATCGACAGAGGAATGGATAAAGATGATGTGGTACATATATACAATGAAATACTACTCAGCCATAAAAAAGAATGAAATAATGCCATTTGCAGCAACATGGATGGACCTAGAGATTATCATACTAAGTGAAGTTAAGGCAGAAAGAGAAAGACAAATATTATATATCACTTATATGTGGAATCTAAAATATGGCACAGAAGAACCTATCTACAAAACAGAAACAGACTCACAGACATAAGAGGTCATACTTGTGGTTGCCAAGGGCGAGGGGGAGTCGGGGAGGGATGGAGTGGGAGTTTGAGGTTAGCAGATGTCAACTATTATACATAGGATGGATAAACAACAAGGTCCCACTATATAGTACGTGGAACTATATTCAATATCCTGGGAGAAACCATAATGGAAAAAAATATAAAAAAGAATGTATATATGTGTATAGCTGAGTCACTTTGCTGTACAGCAGAAATTAACGCTACGTTGTAAATCAACTATAGTTCGATAAAAAACTAAATTTAAAAGAGGAGGCTCTGAAATGTCTTCACACATTGCACCGCCTCCCCAGTGCCCAGGGGAATGGGCTGATGAGGTCTCTTCCCTGTTGTCTCGCTCTGTCTGAGCACCCAAACCACCCAAACGTGTGGCTAAGAGCCCCATGGAACGGGGCCAAAAGATGGGTAAATGGGCAGTTCTCACTCGTTGTCAGGTGAACCTTGCCTCTGAAACTTCGTTATTTTGTTAGGAAAACCACAAAACTCCCAGGACGTCAAACGCTTACGAATCCTAAAGGCCAAGGTGGACTTGAAACTTTGCAGTTATTGGACCCACAAATACAGCTAAGGGCAGCCTATCACTCGTCTGGAGGGAAACCGGGGACAGTGGTTCAAGAGACAGGAAGAGACCAGCCCCTCTAGTCAACCTCAAGTGGGAAAAGTCCCCAAACACTGTGATACGAAGGCTGAGCAGAGCAGCTGCAACACTGACCACGGAACCCACAAAGCTGAAAATAGGTACTATCTGTCCCTTTCTAGAAAACACATCCCTCCGTGTTCCTACACCTGTCTTACAGGAACAGACAGCCAGTGTTGGCCTGACCCCTCTCCAAACTCAACGTGAACTTCTGACTGTTACTCTTGCCTTCAGTGCCTGCAGAGAGAAGGATCTGGGCGAGGTACTGGAGCGGAGTTCCGCTGACGACAGAGCATCAAACAATCTGTCGATCTCGGTCTGCTCCGCAGGAAGAAACCGCGGGGAGAGACTCTGCCCCGAGAGGCTCTTGCTATTCCCCATCTGTCCTGGTAGCTGACAGGAGTCTCTGCAGAAGGAAAGTTCACACCCAGTTAGCAGGGAAATCAAGAGGTAATCATCACAGAAAATAAACATCGATAATTACATGGTCAAGGTAATCAATACTGACCTCCTTGCAAAATGCAGCTACAACACGTCAGAGCTATGTAATGTTGTTTCAGTGTGGTAGAAATTAATGGTCGACACAAATAAAGTGGGAAAACCCAATTCTAATTCTTCTGACTGCCTGAGGCCTGTTCATAATTGCCAACCAAAAGTCGATTTCTTTATTCGAAAACAGTTTCTAAGCTAATGTAACTAAAATGTAGAAAAATCAGGATTTCAATCTAAATATTCATTTTTTAAAAGTCTGAGTTGAAAAAATAATCTATAAGGCTGGATGATCACACATATTTTAAAAAACATCAACACCCTGCAAATATCACCTACAGAGCAGACGTGCTATTAGACATGTTTTTCCCTTTGTGATCCTGGCTCCACCTGGCTGGCTGTATGGTCTTGGGCAAGCGACCAAAACTCTCTGTGCCCCAGTTTCCTCGTTTGTAAAATGGGAATAATCACAGCCCAACCTCAGACGGCTGTGATCATGGTTGGCCAAAGCTATGAGATCAGGACTTCCCTGGTGGCACAGTGGTTAAGAATCCACCTGCCAATGCAGGGGACACGGGTTCAAGCCCTGGTCTGGGAAGATCCTACATGCCATGGAGCAACTAAGCCCGTGTGCCACAACTACCGAGCCTGTGCTCTAGAGCTCGTGAGCCACAACTACTGAGCCCCCATGCCACAACTACTGAAGCCCGTGCACCTAGAGCCCATGCTCCACAAAAAGAGAAGCCACCACAATGAGAAGCCCACACACCACAACAAACAGTAGCCCCCACTCGCTGCTACTGGAGAAAGCCCACATGCAGCAACGAAGACCCAATGCAGCCAAAAATAAATAAATAAAATTAATTTATTAAAAAGTAAATAAGTAAATAACATACAAAGGAATTCCCATAACGTTATCAGCTGATTTTTCAGCCGAAACTCTGCAGGCCAGAAGGGAGTGGCAGGATATACTTAAAGTGATGAAAGAGAAAAACCTACAACCAAGATTACCCAGCAAGGATCTCATTCAGATTCAAGGGAGAAATCGAAAGCTTTTCAGACAAGCAAAAGCTAAGAGAATTCAGCACCACCGAACCAGCTTTACCACAAATGCTAAAGAAACTTCTCTAGGAGGGAAACACAAGAGAAGAAAAGATCTACAAAAACAAACCCAAAACAATTAAGAACATGGTCATAGGAACATACATATCAATAACAACCTTGAGTGTAAATGGATTAAATGCCCCAACCAAAAGATACAGACTGGCTGAATGGATACAGAAACAAGACCCAAATATATGCTGTCTACAAGAGACCCACTTCAGACTTAGCGACACATACAGACTGAAGATGAAGGGATGGAAAAAGGATATTCCTTGCAAATGGAAATCAAAAGAAAGCTGGAGAAGCAATGCTCATATCCAATAAAATAGACTTTAACATAAAGACTGTTACAAGAGACAAGGAAGGACACTACATAATGATCAAAGGATCAATCCAAGAAGAAGATATAACAACTATAAATGTTTATGCACCCAACACAGGAGCACCTCAATACATAAGGCAAATGCTAACAACCATGAAAGCAGAAATCAACAGTAACACAATAATAGTAGGGGACTTTAACACGCCACTTACACCAATGGACAGATCATCCAAACAGAAAATAAATACGGAAACACAAGCTTTAAATGACAAAACAGACCAGATAGATTTAACTGATATTTATAGAACATTCTACCCAAAAGTGGCAGATTACACTTTCTTCTCAAGTGCACATGGAACATCCTCCAGGATAGATCACATCTTGGGTCACAAATCAACTCTCAGAAAATTTAAGAAAATTGAAATCGTATCAAGCATCTTTCCTGACCACAACATTATGAGATTGGAAATCAATTACAGGAAAAAAACTGTAAAAAACACAAATACATGGAGACTAAACAGTGTGCTACTAAATAACCAAGAGATCACTGAAGAAATCAAAGAAGAAATAAAAAAACATAGAAACAAATGACAAGGAAACCATGACGACCCATAACCTATGGGACACAGCAAAACCAGTTCAGGGAGGTCTACAGCAATTCAATCTCACCTCAAGAAACAAGAAAAATCTCAAATAAACAATCTAACCCTACACATAAAACAACTAGAGAAAGAAGAACAAAGAAAACCCAAAGTCAGTAGAAGGAAAGAAATCATAAAAATCAGAGGAGAAATAAATGAAATAGAAACAAACAAAAGAGCAAAGATCAATAAAACTAAAAGCTGGTTCTTTGAGAAGGTAAACAAAATTGATAAACCCTTAGCCAGACTCATCAAGGAAAAAAGGGAGAGGATGCAAATCAATAAAATTAGAAATGAAAAAGGAGAAATCACAATTGATACTGCAGAAATACAAAGGATTATAAGAGATTACTACAAAGAACTATATGCCAATAAAATGGACAACCACGAAGAAATGGACAAATTCTTGGAAAGGTACAATTTTCCAAGACTGAACCAGGAAGAATTAGAAAATATATCTTAAAAATATAACTATTTTTGATTAAAAATATACCTATCACAAGAAATGAAATTTTAACTGTAATTAAAAATCTTCCACCAAACAAAGGTCCAGGACCAGATGGCTTCAGAGGCAAATTCTATCAAACATTTAGAGTAGAGCTAACACCTAATCATTCTCAAACTCTTCCAAAAATTGCAGAGGGAGAAACACTCCCAAATTCATTCTATGAAGCCACCTTCACCCTGATACCAAAACTAGGAAAAGATATCACAAAAAAAGAAAATTACAGACCAATATCACTGATGAATATAGATGCAAAAATCCTGAACAAAATACTAGCAAAGAGAATCCAACAGCACATTAAAAGGATCATAAACTATGATTAAGTGGGATTTATCCCAGAGATGCAAAGATTCTTCAATATACGCAAATCAATCAACGTGATACACCACATTAACAAATTAAGGAATAAAAACCATATGATAATCTCAACAGATGCAGAAAAGGTTTTTGACAAAATTCAACACCCATTTATGATAAAAACTCTCCAGAAAATGGGCAAAGAGGGAACCTACCTCAACATAATAAAGGCCATATATGACAGACCCACAGCAAGCATCATACTCAATGATGAAAAACTGAAAGCATTTCCTCTAAGATCAGGAACAAGACAAGGATGTCCATCTCGCCGCTCTTATTCAACATATTTTGGAAGTCCTAGCCACGGCAAACAGAGAAGAAAAAGAAATAAAAGGAATACAAATTGGAAAAGAAGAAGTAAAACTGTCACTGTTTGCAGATGACATGATACTATACACAGAAAATCCTAAAGATGCCACCAGGAAACTACTAGAAATAATCAATGAATTTGGTAAGGTTGCAGGATACAAAATTAATGCACAGAAATCTCTGGCACTCCTATACATCAACAACGAAAAATCAGAAAGAGAAATTAAGGAAACAATCCCATTTACCATCTCAACAAAAAGAATAAAATACCTCGGAATAAACCTGCCTAAAGAGGCAAAAGATTTGTACTCAGAAAACTATAAAACACTGATGAAAGAAATCAAAGATGACATAAAGAGATGGAGAAATATACCATGTTCTTGGATTGAAATAATCAATATTGTGAAAATGACTATACTACCCAAAGCAATCTACAGATTCAGTGCAATCCCTATCAAACTACCAATGGCATTCTTCACAGAATTAGAATGCCATTACAATTCGTATGGAAACACAAAAGACCCCGAATAGCCAAAGCAATATTGAGAAAGAAAAACAGAGTTGGAAGGATCAGGCTCCCCGACTTCAAACTATACCACAAAGCTACAGTAATCAAGACAGTACGGTACTGGCACAAAAACAGAAATATAGATCAATGGTACAGGACAGAATGCCCAGAGATAAACCCACGCACATATGGACACCTAATTTACAACAAAGGAGGCAAGAACATACAATGGAGAAAAGACAGCCTCTTCAATAAGTGGTGCAGGGAAAATTGGACAGCTACATGTAAAAGAATGAAATACACTCCCTACCACCATACACAAAAATAAACTCCAAATGGATTAAAGGCCTAAATGTAAGGCCAGACATTATAAAACTCTTAGAGGGAAACATAGGAAAAACACTCTTTGACATAAACCAGAGCAAGATCATTTTTGACCCACCTCCTAGAGAAATGGAAATAAAAACAAAAATAAACAAATGGGACTTAATTAAACTTAAAAGCTTTTACACAGCAAAGGAAACAGTACACAAGACAAAAAGACAACCCTCAGAATGGGAGAAAATATTTGCAAATGAAACAACAGACAAAGGATTAATCTCCAAATATACAAACAACTCATGGAGCTCAATATCAAAAAAAACAAACAATCCAATTAAAAAATGGACGGAAGACCTAAATAGACATTTCACCAAGGAAGGCATACAGATGGCCAAGAGGCACATGAAAAGATGCTCAACATCACTAATTATTAGAGAAATGCAAATCAAAACTACAATGGCTCCCTCCAGGCCTCCTGACCAACGACCTTCCCTCTTCTGGGAAGGCCCAGAAGCAGGGCAGCTGGCAACACTGGCTTTTCTTCTAGGAGGGAGAACTGCTACACCCTCAAGCAGGAGCCACAGGCCTGGAGTCAACAAAAGGTGGAAGGAAGGGCAGCCTCTCAGACCATGACCCAGGCCCCTGGCCCACCATTCTCGGTGTCCGCAGGGCACTGGTAAGAGGACACATCTTTAGACAGCTCCAAGGACAGCCCGCTCCTGTTAAAGAGCTCCACACGGCGGGATGAAGTAATGGCAGTGGTACAGCGTCCCCAAGTTCATCCAGCCTGGACTCCATCGTTTTATCAGGCCTGAAATCTCTTTAATCAACTTTGGGGAGGAACTGAAGG